ATCCTTTGACAAATCTTACAACATGAAACTTGTAGAGCTTGAAGCCACGATTCTAAACATATAAAAAAATTAATCTAACTCTCAGAAATGAGAGAGAATTTCTTCTCCCCCAATTCCTGACCTAATTTTTTTCAGATGTTCAGATTCAAAATACTCTTAGCACACATAATATAAATGAAAAGTAACTATATGGATGGCTTCAGGGCTATGATTAGAACATGTTTTCTTCACAAACTTAAACCTAACTATGCCTGGATAGAGAGATAGAAGTTTAAAAACTTACCTGTTCAGCTTGATTCGTGTATGACAATGGAGGTACTTTCAGTGCAATGTGAGGACTTGTACAGCTTGCTTGAGGTCCAGGGATGCTTCCTCTATGCTTAGCTTGCTTTGAATCAAGCTACAGAAGTCAACCTGCAAGAGAGAAAAGTGAAAATGGCAAATGATGTTAGGGATGTTACAGTTCGTGTCCAATGCTTGGGATAGTTTGTATAGGTGGTAGGGAGTGTGTTTGAACTGGTTTTGGCCAAGGCGCACGAAAGGATTGAGTTGTGGACCTCAATCTGCAGCAGGTGCCCTGTTTTGCCACAAAACTATGTTTTGATGAATGAGAAGGTTTGAAACTTGGTTGGTTCGTGTTTTAGGTCTGGTTTGATGTTTGGAAAATGTTCACAATGTTTGCTTAGGCTTGTGTTGACAGAAATGTGAGTTGTTGTTGTGTTTGCAAAGTTGCTTCTAATGTAAGCAAAAGTTGTCAAGTTGGTTTACAAGCTTATGCAGGCCCCCTAAACATGCTGCCTCAATCCCTCTTGATCAGTGTGATTAGTTCCTGAACTTGTGCCTAGAAGATATGCTTTGGTACTTCTTTGATTTGCTTTTGACATAAAGCACCTCTTTACAAGAATGGATAACTTGCTTTTTTCCATTTATGGCTTAATTCTTCATGTAATGTCCAAATGCACAAAATAATGCTAGAACACAATGGATTGGCATTTAATTATTGATTGTAAATGAGATTAGAGTCCTGTAACTAGCTTGTGCAAACTGATTTCAAAAATGCACAAGTTATGAACATGTACATGGCTTATGAACAAAGTGACTTTTGCCCATATTGACAAATTCGATTCTCTCTAACCACAAGGGTGTTTGAGAAGTTCTTGGACAATTTGGAAAGCTTGGAATGTGTACTACAATCCATCTTTATAATGCAAGTTGAAATTCCAAGTGGAAGCATGTGAAAAGTGGCCATGAAGTTAGGCAAAAATCCTGCCTAAACTAGGTCAAAATATTTCTAAGTTAAGAATGTTTTGCACCCCTATTCCAAAAATCATAACTTGAGCTACAAGCTTCTTTTGATGAAACTTTGTGAATAAAAGTTGTAGATTTTGCAATTTACTATAACTTTCATGTTTTGAGTTTTGTTTGAATCCAAATGTATCTTGATGAAAAGATGGGACAAAGTTAGGAAAAAATTAGGAATTTTCATAACTTAGAAAAATTCTAAGTTATGAAAATTCTTCATTTCAAACCCTAATTTGTAATTCTTGATTTCTTGATGAACAAGTTTAATAATTTGACATGTCTTGATGAAAAATGAATCTTGACACTTGATTTTGACCAAAAAGTCAAAGTTTGACTTTTCAGTATACAGTCAAATTTGGCTCAGTTGACTGGAAAATTCATCTGTCAATCTTGTGCATTTGGGATCTTTTGAACTTGTTGAACATGTCAAGACAATTCCATTGAGTCCTTGAGTCCATATGTGAGCTTGGTTTGCCATCGGTTAGGTCAAACAGTCAAAAATTGCCTTTGTGCAGTCAAAACCCTAAAAATGACCATTTTGCCCTTTTGATGATCTGATCAAATTTCTTGTGGAATTGTGATCCAAACTTGATAAAATGGTCCATATGAGTTCATAATGTTGATGTGGGTCAAAAATCATGAGGTTTGACTGTCAATTGACCACAGTTGACTTTTTCCCCAATACAGCTGATTTCTAGGTCAACTGTCCAATTGACTGGGCAAAGATTGGAATCAAGGCTTGAAACTTGGTATGGATAAACTTGTGAGTCCAACATGAAGCATGAAAGTCATCTTGGGCCTTTTAGGTCAAAACATCTTTGTGCAAACACAAACCCTAATTTGGGTCAACAGTGCAAGGAGGGGTCTTGAGCAGAGTAAGCCCTAACTTGTTCTTGAGCTCCAAGGGTCTTGTGATGAGAAAATGTTGAGGAAATGGGAGGGAAAATTTTTGGGTACAACAAGTATGTTACGTGAGGGGAAGATATTAGCACCCCACACGCCCGTAGTACTCTACGGTATCCACCCTTGTTGTCTATCTTATGGGTGTGTAAGAATCTATATCTAAGTTGTACGGGGAATGCATACAAAAGAAAGGAGAAAAGAATGTAGGGAAAATAAAAGTTGTACTCGCTTGGGCCCTACCCCAATGCCTACGTATCCTTTTTGAGGAATCAGAGCTACTATAGTTTGGCTTCAAAAGTTTTTTGTTAGTTTGTATTTTTAATGAACAATATTAATTTCGCCTTATGCCGCAACTCGATCTTTGAAGACTCATACGTCAGCACAGAAGTAAATTAATCATGTACTTACTAAAAGTGATTTCGAGTTACGCCCTTGAGGCAATATGTCACATTTGATTGGTTTGTATTTTGTTACATTCAAAAAAGGTTTAAATGTGATTAGCATGTTTTTGATTTGTTAAGAAAAAAGAGTTTTAGTTTTAGATGCATATGCAAAAGGGGAAAGAAAAGTCTAATGGGAGACTAACCTAAATCTATCTTTAATGTTATCATACAATGATTGATCCTAAAGTTATGTTTTGAAGGGAAATCTCTACCCTATGTTGACATGCATGGATAACAATCCTAAATTCTATCTCAACTCATCATCTATAGATGGATCCAGAAGTCCTAAAGGAGCATAGGAAGGGTCTATCACCTAAAACTATGTCTATCTCGAATCACTGTCTATAGTTGAATAGAGAGCTCCTAAGGGAACATGCTGAGGGTATATCATCTCAAAACATGCACACAAAGACAAAATCAAGCACCCAAGCCAATAAGCTCAAGAGAGCATACACATAAAATGGTAAGGAAAATAATCGAAATGCTTTAGCCAAGGGGAGCGTATCACCTGAGAAAAACAAGCGGGAGTAGGATGAAAAAGAAAAATATGATGTCCAAAGCGACTGAACACCTAAACAAGATATAGAAGATCGAGGTATATCATATAAGGAAATATGAACAATCATGGAGTATCAGCATCGGCCAATGCGAACTCCTGACAAAATGTGGGGGTTCGATTGTGGAACCCTTCCCCACTTGACGACTCGATACACAAGAGCAGGCACAACTCCGAAGCTTCGTGGTGAGTCACGAGCTAAGGATGACATGGACTAGAATGTGCGGGGGTCGATTATGGACCCTCCCTGATTGCCTCCTTTTGAGGACTTATCCTTCTGTAATATAATGTGGGCACAAATGAAAACACACGTGCGGAATACCTACTTTGAAGGTAGGATTTTAAACAAATACAAATAGCATACAGAAAGTGGTGCCTGCTACAAGACTTTAAACATCGAATTCGAGTGCATATTCTTCATTTCCTGCTTCCTACTTCACATGATCTCTAGAAAGAGATAAATGCTTACAATACATGATCTCTTGAAAGTGATAAAATGATGAAATAAGAAACCAGAGAAAAAACCAAATGAACTAAAGTTCGTAGCATGGTGAGCAAAGCAGAGAAACCCAGAAAACTTCAAGTAAGCTTCACACATCAATAAAGAAGATTTACAAATCCAATGTTAAGAATAAACGTCAAAGCCTCATCAATGTGAAAATAAATCACAAGTAGAAGATGCGCCAAGCATATATGAATATCGCATAATAGACCTGCATACGACTTAAATCTCAACAAGCAAAGGTGAATCACAAATCTCGAGTAACAAAATGATTACTAACACAGTCGATAATAGAAAATTCTTAACAAACCTATACAAAAGAAATTCTAGAAAAAATTATATTATATTCCACTATCCTTTATTGTTTTTATTATTGAAAAACCTATCAAAAACTAGAGAATTAATTCTTAATCCCTAAAAAAACTAACAAGTCATATTGATTTTGTAGTTTTTTTATCAACAATCCATAACAAACAAATAAGAAAAAATGTAATGGAAATCTAAAAAGAAAATTAAACTGAAAGTGGGTGTTAAGTTGAGTCAGGTGTATGTGGTGCAGAAACTGGTGCTAAGCCTGACAAGAATGGGTCCAATCAAGACTTTTATCCACAAGTTTGATGATGTACAAAAAAACACCATGGATCAAGGCAATGAGTTTGTGGATCATTCCAGCCCAACAGCTTATCACCAATTCCACAATCTAACCTACACAGCTTGACCAAACTTTATATTATTGATTTGAATTAAAAACAAATTAATCACAAAAATGTAAATGATAAACATTGAGAAAGGTATTAGGGTTGCAATGTGACATATGAGCTTCTTCTTCCTCTTTCAAAGATTGTTCCGCCGCGGCACGATTCGAACTTCTTCTTCGTTTTTCTGTCGATTTCGCCGCCGCGCCAGCCCTAACTCCCCATAATCATCGATTGCCATTATCCGTCCCTTGCTTCGATCACCTCTCTCTGAATCACAACTTCATTATTTCCAATAGATCTCCAATAGGAAGCCCTAACCCGTCTGAACCGGAATTGATTTCTCCTCTGCTAACTTCGAAGGTGATGATGAAACTCCTCTTCTTCATCGTTCTGTGTTGTAAATATTCACGTGTATGAAGCAGAGAAATCGTTATTGTTGATGCAGTGGAAGAGTGAAGCGGTTGCATATTATTGAAGCTTTGAGAGATGATGATGCAGCATTCTCGATGAAGAAGGTTGGAGATGCTGCAGTTTGAATATGTAGAGGATTTGTTGCAGAGGTTGATGATGATTGAAGTTTATGGAAAGATGAAGATTCAGTGATGCGAGCTCAGAGAGAGAGAGAGAATTCTTTTGGTGATTTTCTGGAGATTCAAGGAACGATGATGAAGATGGAGAGTAAATTTTGGGAGAGTAAGAAGAGAGAATAATGAAGATTGAGGCGTGAAGAAGAGAGGAGTTAAAGTTTTATTGCAAAATTGACGAAGATCGGCCCTGCGATGAAAGTGATGAATGTTGAAGCTACATGGAGATGCGCTGAAGATTTGCAATGGAGAATTGAAGAGTGCGGAGGGAGAGAATTTTCTATGGATTCTGATGGTTCTTCTTCTGTGAATTTTCTGAATGAAATCTATCCCCTGATATCTGGTAATTTTCTGTTATATATAATCCTGTTATGTTGGAGATCCTTAGTTAGAGAGGAGTGAGGGTGAGTTTGTTAAATTATGTTGGAAAGTTATCTAAAGTTAGGAGGTAGTTTTAGCTATTAGAAGGTTAGTTGCCATTCTGTTATGTCACTTAGTGAGTTGGTTAGGGATCGGTTATTGCTTGTTAAGCTAAGATTATGTTAGAGTTAGTTAGGAAGTTAGAAAATTCTATTAGAAAAACAGTTACGATCCTGTTAGTTGGTTAGTGAATTTCTATTTAGAATTTAATTGTTGTTAACTGTTAGTTAGAAAATGGTTAGCCAGTTAGAAGCTAGTTGCAGTTTGTTATATACCTTGAAATTCGGTTATGAATGTTAGCCAGAGCTGTTAGAAAGAGCTGGCCTTTGTTTCATTTTTTAGTAAAACTGATTGACTGGCTCAATGCTAAGAGGAACGGTTTTTTTTTGTGAAATGGCCTTCATGATTGGTTTTGTATGCTCTGGATTCTGAATGTACGGAGTTGAATATATATGTTTCTGTTATGTGTGTAGAATTATCATATGGTTCTAGTTCCGGAAATGACCTTTTGTATTCAGCTAATACTTTCAAGCAATTTCCAGTTTCTCAATCAATGATTTTTACTGTGTGGTCACCATGTCAAGAGGCAAGCACTTTCCCGTCTTGACTAAATGTTGCTACAATAGTAGAACATGGAGGAGGCAATAAGTTCACTCTATTTTTATCTCTCATCAAATGAAAGCTTTTATGCTTCAATACATTTGTTTAGATCCCTCTTGATGGATAAAACTAGTTATAAAACTACAACTATTCAGATGTAAACACTTTAATTTTTCTTTGATAGAACTATACTTAAATTGAATGCCTTGATGAGTTTTTGTATGTGTGATTTTTTATTGAATGTGCCTTGGTTTGAGCTGGATGTAGTAATGGTTTGCTCTTGCAGGTACGTAGCATGCTGTTTTTATACAGCAGGTTTTAGATCACGAAGTTGGCATGGCAGATGATATTTGTTGCAGCATGTGTGATATGTGATAGTGCTTATTATGAAATTGAGTTATCCATATTCTACGTTGATGCTTGTTTCATCCTTGTTTGTGCAGGTTGATAACATTGTAGCAACTGGTAGGAAAGTATGCATGAAGTATGGCTAGAGGTGGATTAGTGTCTAGTTGAATGTTGAATGAGTTGGATCTCTTGGAGGGATAATGAAGATGTAGAGTGAATTGGAGTAGAGTTTGATCGTGAAGATAGCTTGAAAACAGAGTAAAAGAAATGGAAAGTGGAACTTAGCGTGAAGATCTTTGGAGCCTTTGTCATGGGGATTAGAATTAGAGCCTAAAAAAATTGAAAGGAAGTTTGGCATAGGCTTAGTTTTAGATTTATGTTTTTTGTGTAATTTAAGGCCTCGTAAACCTCTTGTACATTTTATAATGGATCATGAATGACTTTTATTTTGATAGAATTCATCTTGAAACTTGAATGATTTGAATGATGAAGTTATGATTCTTGCTGAACATGATATGTCCATCAAAAATCTTAATTGAATGTCGACTTGCAAGGTGCATTTGAAATTATGAATCTTGAATTAATACAAGGAACCACTTTTGAAAAGAACCTTGAAAGAATCTTGCACAATTTGAATATGATCGAATGAGAGTTGTAATGAAATTAAACTTTTAATAATGTCTTTGTTTTTTTAGTAATCCAAATACATTTCCTTCCGACCTTGCATGAATCAATTCTTGACACCATGATCAAATCAAAGTTTAAGAACCTTGATGACATTCGACTAACTTGAGAACATTAAAGGTTTGAACGAATACTTCTAAATAATGAATTCAATTCAATTCTCACTTCTCAAGAAAACCACAATCTCAAATCTTATATCCATGTTAACTGGCATTACTAGCAACAATCGATTAAAAGAATAATGATGTTGTTTAGATTCCACAAATCGTATCTTCTAACACAATAATTATTCCTTGAAGACTCCTTTAAAGATGAATATGGAACTTGATTAACATTCACATACATGAATATCATTGGATTCGGGCTCATGGGATCAAGGTATTATTTTCAACACAATAAAGCTCCCATTTTTGTTCAATGCATGACGAGTTACGGAAGATTTGAGTGTTTTTGGTGAATTTTAAGCAATGCAAATAGGAAATAGTTTTTCAGCTGATTTGAGTATGGAAATTCATATCTCCTGTTTAGAACGATGTTTTGGATTGATTCTTGAGGTTTTGAAACCATCTCGACGTTCTCTTCAACTTTCATGTTTAGACCAAAAGCTAAATCTCGAAGGAAGGTCTCTGAATACTCTATTCTTTTGGAAGATATACAGTGAAAAATACAAAGGAAGTGAGTTGAACCGTTATTTCGTGTGCACTAAAAAATTCTTAATTGTCGGATGGAATGTTGAATACGTGCGGTTCTGATTGCCAAAGTTCTATCTCGATGTCATCTTGATATCGTCTTTAGAGGCTAAAAGCTGATTCAAGAAGGAAGGACCCGTGAATTTTGAGTTTCTGAAGACATGTTTGTGCTTAACCGGAATTCATTTGTATTGATGTTTGATACGGTAAAATTTATATCTCACTCGATTGTTATCGTATTAAGTTGGGTCTGATGGTGTTTGTTGGCGAATTTCGTCTAGTACAACTTATATTCAGATGCTAAAAGTAAACAGTGATATGAAGGTTCTCGTTTTTTATCTTCTTCGCGCGCGACGAAATAAAATTCTGCACAGGAAATTATTTCTGCCTAACACAGTGTCAGCGAAACTTCAAAAATTCATAACTTCCTCGTTGTTTATTTGATTGAGTTTGTTCTTTCGTAAATACTTCACAAATTTGATTATCTTCATTTTTCGTGTTGGAACTTTTTGAAGATTCCGTATGGATGATGACGTGGAACTTTTGATATGTCTCGGGCTTACGTTTTCAAGTCAAGGCCCAATCCAATTTCACATCCAAGGCCCAATTTGATTACACCATATAATCTCAAATCTGATTTTTGTTAAGGAGGCCCTCATAATTCATAAATTATCATAAACACACAAATCTTTTCTCTCAATTCTCCCAAAGATCAAACCAAAGTTTTTTCTCTACTTTTTCATTAAGAACACAACAACTATTTCATCAAAATTTGAAAGTCAAAGAGTAATTCATTTCTTATAGTTGATCTATTTGTTGCGATCTCTATACCTAAGCCTCATCTTCACTTCTATCGGTGATTATTCTTGAATTAAGTACTTTTGAAATAAGTGATTATTTGAGTAGCGCTTTTTAATCAAGCATGAAATGAACCTAGGTTGAATTTTCAATTAAGAATATAGATATAAGCCTAGAATTGTGAATAGATTTGATTATCATGTGTAGATCCGGAATTGGATAGTTGAATTAAGTGCTTATTGAAATAAGTTGTTTCTAAGGAAAGTGCTTAATTGATGAAATAAATTGATGATATTTCATAAAGTGTTAATTTTTTTTATCTTAATCAAGCTTGTGGAGTTTGAATCTAGACCTTGAATTATGCAAAATCATGTATTGAATGTGTGGAGGTTTGGTGTTTGATCAATTGCCTAAGCCATGAGCCAAAACTTCAAAAAGTTAGAAAAAGCTACTTTCTGCCTGCGGGTGACCGGTTACCCGGTTATGGTAACTGGTTACCACCTTTTCTATGTAACTGAAATTTAAATATTTGCACGCGATAACCGGTTACCTAGTTATGGTAACCGGTTCCTCAAGATAGTAGTGTTTTCTTCGACTTTTTGAGTTATGGTAACCGGTTACCTAGTTATGCTAACCGATTACCTCAAGACAGTAGCATTTTATTCAAATTTTTGAGTTACGGTAACCGGTTACTCAATTATGCTAACCGGTTACCTCAAGATAGTAGCGTTTTCCTCAACTTTTTTGAGTTATGGTAACCGGTTACCCAGTTATGGTAACCAGTTACCCAAACAGAAATATCAACTTTTCCTTTGTTTAAATGCATGTTTGCACATATTTCCTTGTTAACTCTAACTACTTTTGTGAATGTTTTGCAATGTACATTGCTAGGCCTTCAACCTTTAATTAGCACATGATTATTGGTTGAAAGGAACCTTATGCGATCACTTAGTTGAAATTTGCGTACGATGCGCAAGACGATTTTGTTCTTGTATAAATCTTGTTTTATACAGATACCCTGGAATTTCGCGGGTGTGTCTACGTCATATTCCACCGTGTGATTGTTATTTGCATATGTTGTATGAACTGTTTTTCATGCAGGTGTTTTTTTTATATTCGGATGAGTCTGCCATGCATTCTGATCTTGATTTGTTTGATGCATTAACGCTTATGCTGATGGTATTTTCTTTGTTGGTGATGGCAGCTCGCGAGGTTCTCGGGCTTCTTTGTCATTGCTTAGCATTTACGGATTGCTACCTGTTTGGTACATATCCCTTCTATGTCATTTTCGCATCTTACTGTTTTTTAGAGATCATGTCAACTTGGCTTTTATCGCTTTCCTTGCCATGAGAAGTAGGAATAGAGATGTATGACGGGGATCACCGTTGCAAATCATGTCAGGAATAACTCTAGTTTATTTAAAGACCCGTTTAGGGAAATTCTACATATGTGCCTTGTGTTCTACTTGTGCTTGTTTAAAATCCTACCTTTGGAGTAGGTATTCTACAAGTGTGTTTACATTTGTGATATCATATTCCCCCAGCCCAATATGTCCTCAAAAGGAGGCAAGCAGAAAGGGTTCATAATCGACCCTCGCGTTTCGTCTGTGTCATCCTTAGTTCACGTTGTACATCGACACTTTGGATTTGTGCAGATCATGTGTATCAAATAGGTCATGTGGAAAAGGGTTTTATAATCAAACCTCCACACATTGTCAGGAGTTTTCTATGGCAATTGTTGACACTTCACTACCCGCTTTTTTGCTTCGGGTGATCCACGCCCCTTAATTAAAGTAATGCTTTTCTTTTTTATTCCATCTCAGTCTCCCACTTATTTGCTTCGGATGATCCTCTCCCCTTAGCTAAAGTATTTTCTCTTCATACCCCCATCCCCTGAGTCAGTTTACCCCGATTGTGTTCTTTTTCCAAAGCACTTGTTTGATATGCCTTGCTCCTTTATGGTTGCTTGTGTAGGACTAGTCTTCGAGCTAGATATTAGGATAATTATCCATGTATGTTCACTTTGATAGATATTCCCTTTTTTCCTCAACGTAGGGCCATCATCGTATGATTACACTAGGGCTAGAGATTAGGATAGTCTCCCTTAGTTGTTTTCTTCTTCTTCTTTTTTTCATATTGCATCTTAAAACAAAAACTTTATTTTTCTTGGCAAATGATAAAACATCTCTAATGAACTTATATCCTTCTTCAAGGTAAAAAATAAAAACCAATATTAATTGATTGTTCGCCTTTTGGCTTTGATTTAAACCTTATTAAGTTGCCATCTTACTGCCTTTACCATGATATTTTACTATCTTTGTGTCGATGTTTCACCATCGCATATGCTTGTTATCCTACTTTGATTTTCAATATCTTTGTTAGGTGTGATATTTTATCATCTAAATTGATGTTTTGCCATCCTTACCATGATATTTTGCTAGCTTTGTGTCGATGTTTAGCCATCGCATATGTTTGTTATCCTACTTTGATTCTCGATATCATTGTTAGGTGTGATATTTTTTCATCTAAATTGATGTTTTGTCATCCTCACCATGACATTTTGATATCTTTGTGTCGATGTTTCGCCACCGCATATGTTTGTTATCCTACTTTGATTTTTAATATCATTTTTAGGTGTGATGTTTTATCATCTAAATTGTAATGTTTTACATCCTTCCCATGATATTTTGCTATCTTTGTGACGATGTTCACCATCGCTTATGTTTCTTATCCTAATTTGATTTTCAATATCATTGTTAGGTGTGATATTTTTCCATCATTGTTGATGTTTTGCCATCATTGTTGAGGTTTTGCCATCATTGTCGTTATCTTGTCATTTGTTGATGTTTGTCATTATACCCGATGTTTTCCCATCGTGTTTATTGCTTTTGTATTTTTAACTAAAAAACAAAAACTAACCAAAATATTTGAGCAGAACTACGGCTGCTCTGATTCCTTAAAAGGGATGCGTAGGCAGAGGCTTTTGTGGGGCCTAATCGAGCACATATTTGTAAAAATATCTTTCTTTTCCCCACACTTTCTTTTCCTTTTCTTTTGCATGCATTCCCCCTTTGTTTTTATTTTGAACCTTAGACATAGACTTTAAATACACCCACTAGATTAAAATAACAAGAGTGGATATCATAGAGTACTACGGGCGTGTGGGGTGCTAATATCTTCCTCTCGCG